TCCCACCCCCACCACTCCATGGTGCTGCTAGTCCCCCGCAGACCCCACCAATGCTCCCGTGGACCCACTAGGCCCCCTGATCCTGCCATCCCCTTTCTCCACCCTGACTTGCCTAGATCAGACTCCCAGTACTGGCAAACATCTGTAAAGCTGGCATACAATCTACAATCACCCCACTTAAAGTAAGTGGGGTGATTGTAGATTGCATCCCTAGAATGTCTGTAAGTGGTCTAGTTTCTCCTTGCCCCAGGCAATGGCAGCAAGTACAAGGAAAACAGGAATGCATTTCCCAAACATCCTGGAACACAGAGTAATGAGAACCAGAGTGTTAGGAAGAGATGGATGAACAAAAGGCCAGACATCTGCTGCTCTAATTTACTAGACTCTCAGGATGTTAAATGTTGCATTAAAATAGATTTTTATATTGAACTAAATAGTAGGTTTTGTTTTGGTTTTCTCAAAAGTAACCACACCCCTTAGCAAAGTCGCTTCACATGCAATTCTGCAGTTTGGTGCAGTTTCTAAACATTTGCAAACCACAGGAACAGGAAATGATAGCAACCATTGGACCTGTTCTAGCCCCTTTTCTTGTTCACGGCATTTGCAGTACACAGCCAGACTTAGGAAATTACTCATCTACTAAAGGTAAGTCATTCTGGAATTTTCCACATGTATATAAGAAAAAGAAAAGGTTGTTCCTTTATTATATTTCTCACAGCTAAGTAAAGTCCTTTGCTTTAAATGAGTTGATGGAGGAATCCTTTCATTTTCCTGGATCAACAGGTATTCAAATGCATGTGACAGCAAAAGTGCTAGTTTCTCACTTTCCACAGCATAGGTCTAATTTCAAAACACATACACATAGCCATTGCCCAACTGATGTAGCAGAGGCAAGGCATAAATGGCAATCAGTAAAACATTTCTGAGAGGAAAGTTCTGTAGAGCCACAGCATTGCCAACTGAATATGCCACAAGCTCAGTCAGGCCCATCCAGCAACTGAACTATGTGCACAAGTTATACACTTTTATGGTGCACATGCATAGCAACAGTGTTATTTTCTTCTCCAGAGTACCTTCACCCTGCTTTTCTAGTCTCCCTTTCCCCAGGTGAGCACTGAAAAGAGACGGACTCTTCTAGCCCATAACCTGACATTTTGGTGTTACAAAAGGTTGATTCCTGTCATGTAGGCATCAAAATCCACTGGCTCCCAATGTGGGTTCCAAACAACTCCACCCAAAGCCATCCCTCCCAAACCTCATCAGCTCCTCCTGCCTTCAGAGGGATGGCCTTTCTGTTGGGAAGGGCCAGTGTACTAAGTGTGGAGGTGGGCCAATCAGGGGTCCAAATTATGCTTTGAGTACCTGACTCCATTGACTCCTACTCAGAAACTCAGCTCATTTCTGTAGATGTAGAGATGTAGTATCCCTAAAGTTTCTCACTTGTGTGTTGGCTCTCCAGGTGTCATCCAGTTTTCACATCAGTCTAGGTGACTCCTAAAGGTGTGAGATAATTATACAGAAAAGTCAATGTGGTCTATTACCTCACTAGAAAAACCTTTTGCTGTTGAGATTTTGGCAGAGTCAGCCTTGTGGCAAAGTTAATGTGTAACAAATTCACTACCCACTTACATTTTGATACAAGCAGGTAGAAAATATAATCATCTTCTATCAGGTTCAGGTCTCTAATAGCTTTGCCTTAGTAAAGATATCTAGTCCAAGCCAAAGAGACCTCTGATTGCACTGAGAGGCAGTTTGGTGCAATGAGTAGGGCACAGGGAAGGGAGTCAAAACACGAGCTCTGCTCCCACCTCAACTTGATGCTGAGATGTTATGCAGTTACTCCAGCCGTGAAGGCAGGACTCAAAATCTTTAGCAGCAGGCATTCGGCTTTTCAGTGGAGTTGTGCTGTTTTCCAGCAGCACAACTCTGCTCCCTAATCTTTTAACAATACCTCTTAGAGCATAGAACACTAGAAAGTAAAAGAAACTGGAAGGCTGACACTGGGATTTTTTTCTCAGTGATTTTTATACAGACTTTTTCTAACGTTAAAAAAAAGTTTTATGTATAATTGTTTGATTAAAGTAGATAACCAATTGACTTTAAGAGGGAGACTAGAGCCAATGAGCCAAATCCTGAAATGTATCCTTTCACCAATGTTGATGGGAGTAAGAAACAAGTAAATACTTCAGAACTTGCTGTGGTCTGTAGACCTGCACCCCATGCTTCTGCAGTGGTTCTCTCCAACCACTTCCCAGGCATTTCTTAGGCATAAATTACATTTCAATGGTGTTATGTAAGAGAAGTTTTGGTAAGAGCCAGCTTTTGATACCTTTATTTGTATTAGGTAGTGTTTGACTCCCTGAGCACCTCTGACTCAGCAACATGGCTTGTAAAAAAGAGGCTAGTTCGGTATAAGCTGACATACCAGAAAATGGCCTAAAGCATATGTTGTGATACCCTTTGCGTGTATCTCTGCAATGAGCACCTTCTGTCTGTCAGAGATAGTGTATAAGAAAACAGATTGTTTGACAATGCTGAGTGCTCAAGAAAACAAAAGAAACATTAGCCAAATGAGTGACTCATGATTTTATCATCAGATGTAACATCCCAGTTGCTTCTCTGGTCCCATCAGAAAGTTATGAAGAGTATGTAAGCAGATGCTCAGCAGTTATAAGACAGATTGTCGATGCCTACACAAGCGAAGGTAAATATTTCACGTGTGCTTACAGTTTTCACTATCACTGTTAGCAATAAACAGGCTTGTCAGAGGGAACGCATGCTTTGTGGATTATTGGCATTGCAGTGGATCATTAGATATCAACCTGTATTATACTAAATTACTACATACAGAGCACATCTACACATGTATTAATGCACTTTTACTAATGTGCATTAAACTTACAGCACCCCCGCCACCAGTTTGAAGTGGAGGGGTGCTGATACATGAGACATAGGAGACTGCTGAGCTCCAGCAGCCCCAATTAAGAGTCTGTTCCAGCAGGTGGGGGCAGTTTATCTAAAGCTCATTTGATGAGCCTTAGATAAAGTGCCCCCACCGCCATTTTGAAGCACAGGAATGCTGATACACGAGATGCTCTCAAAGCCGCTCTAATTAAAGTGCCCCCCCGAGCACATGTATAAATGCCCTGAGGTACTAAATAAATATGCATTAGACTGCGCTAATACATAGTAGCACAAGTGCACACTTTTTAGGTGACAGTGCACAGTAACCGATTCTACTGCACATTCACGTACTAGCACAGTTTTTGATGTACCACTTTAATGTGCAGTAGAATAGGCTACTGCACATTAAAGCGTGTGTCGATGCACATACACATGCACAATAACAAGTATATGTGAGAAGTAACATATTACACTGAGACCATACTAAGAACACTTAAAATGTCAGATCTGCAGATTAAAGCTCATTAACTCATGCTAAGTGCCCTTTGAGTATCTTAAAGTTCCACTACTTCAGATAAGGGCTAGCTCTAGGCTGTGCTACCTACCTCATTTTAGTGTAACTTCAGTCTGCCCCATGGAGATAAAATGAGTGATTTGCAGTCTTCTAGAATACCAGTATATACCTTTCCCAGGCCCCTCACCCCCACCCAGAGCAAGGATAGAGCCAAGGTGCCCTGGCTTCTA